CATCTGGCCAAAAGTCAAGTATCCTGGGCTATACAAAGAAGTGGAGAAAGGTCTTTTAATGCTCTATCATCTTGCCAAAGGAGTATCTATGGATGCAATGGAGCCACACATGCCAAAAAGTAGTTTCCATGCAATGCACTCTGTCTTTTACAAGAAAGAATATACTTTGCACAATAAGTACATTACCAACTGTATTGCCACTATGTTCTCCACAATCAAAATACGCCTATTGTCTGCAAAGGTAAAAAATCCTCCATTATTTACGCATATCACCTTGCATCTTGATGGTCATGATACAAGATCAACATACAAAGGTGAGAGCAGTGCTGATATGTACTCTTACAAGCTGAAAAAGTCAGGATTACGCACACAGGTAGCAATGGATTGTAATGGCATGGCCTTATTTGTCTCCAAATCTGCATCTTGCAAGAACAATGCCGATGGAACAATGCTGCTGATGATGAAGTTGGACAAGAGAGAGCATGAGTTGGATTGCATTGCTCTCGATGGAGGGTATCCACAGTTCTTGAGGAGGCTTGTAGATGAGTCTGACACTCTCACACTCCAAAATTTCGCTCATCCATACCGCAAAAAGAAGAATAAGGACCTTACACAGGAAGAAGCATTCTACAACTCCACCTTTGGTAGTTTCCGCTCTCAGATGGAGTCTCTATTTGCTGATCTTGGTTCCACATTTGAGAAGCACAACAATCGTGCTCCAGTCTTGGTGGATAAGAAACAGACATATAATTTGCAGTTGAAGTTGTCTTTGCTTCTCTTGAACATGAAAAAGATGGTTGCTTTGTTGGCGATTTCTGTGGAACCAATTCATACAGCTTGGCTGCGTGGAGGATTCGAGTATCCAACAACAGAGAATGATGTTGAGCAACCAATGGAATATGTTGATGTTGGTGCACTGATGGAGGATGGTAATACAATGGCAAAACTGCAGGAGGAATTCCTTGCTTTTGAGCTTCGTGATGGTGTTGATGAGGACCAGTCCTCTGATGAGGACACACCAATGGATCCACCAGTAATACTGCAACGCGGCCTTTCCATTGCGCTTTGAGGTACAAAGCAGCAATTAATGGATGTTGATAATTGTCACAGTATTATAATCTGTTGTGACCCTAGATCATTAGCGTCATCTAACCACTGTCTCATCTAACCACATTATCACCTAATTACATCCCCATCTAACCACATCACCACCTCACCACATCACCACCATCCTGGAGCCCATAGCCTAGCACACATAAATACCCTGGCTCCCCTGTACAATAAACACCATCCGTTTCTGCCTCCTGCTCTTGTCTATCACCCTTCTTCTGTTGCTATTACATGGTAGCAAAAGTAACTTCGATCCATACCCCTCTGCCCTGATCTGTCAAATTTTCTGTTCCTGCTCCAGCTCCGTTCCTGTCTACCCATATTTTATTTTCTCTTTCCACACGTACAGCTCTCTCCTCCTTTTACCATATCCCTACTATCCTTTTTTATTTTCTTACTTTTCTGCACCCTTCCGGCTCTTATGTCTGCTACCGACGAAATTCGCCAGCTCGCCTCTGGCCTTACTGACGAGGCCAGGACCAGGATTGAAACCCTCCTTGCAAGCCTTACTCCCCTACCTCCTGCTCCAACCCAACTCGAACAAGAGGCTGCCTGCCGCGATGTTGCCCGCACCCTCCATAAAATCCTTAAGCCTCAGACCCCCTCTCCTTACGCTGGCGCGATCGACGCCGATGCCTGTCATAACTTCATCGACAATCAAGAGGAGTATTATGAGGTCGTCAACCTTGCATCCGCTGAATGGGTCCAGTATACGGCCCTTAACCTCACTGATGATGCGAAATCGTGGTGGAGATCAAGCGGCCTTACCATTCGCAGCTCCTGGGACGACTTCAAACAAGCCTTCCTCAACTTTCACACCCCGCCCAATGCCGCCGTCGCTGCTCTTTCGGCTCTTGAGTCTTTACGACAAGGCAAGCGTACAGTCGCCGCCTACACCCACGAATTCCGCCGCCTTCGCCGTCGAGTTCCCTCCCTTGACAATACTACCGCCTTGCACTGGTACAAAAAAGGCCTCGAAAAAGAAACCAGCAAGGAGGTTATGCTTCGCCAGCCGGAGACCTTGGATATTGCCATTACTCAAGCCACTCTGGTTCACTCCATCCTCTACCCTGACGGGCCCACTGGTCCCAAGCCCATTGTTCAACAATCCAGCGATATGGAGATCGACACCCTCCATGTTGCTATCAACAACCTCTCCGCACAAGTCAGCTACCTTTCGCGCCGATCCGGCTACAACCACAGCCAGCACAACACCAAACCCTTTATCTACAACCCCAATACCCACTACAAACCCGGCGGTCCTCTTCCTCCCAAGCTATCACAAGAAGAGAAAGACTACCTCTACAAGAATGGTGGCTGCTACAAGTGCCGTAAACTTGGCCACCTTGGGCCCGATTGCAGGACTTTCCCTTCGACTTCACGCCCGGCACGACAGTTCAACAATATCGAGGTTGCCGACACCCCAACCCCTCAACAGGCTACTTCCCAGGCTCAGTCGGGAAAAGCCAACAGCAACTAGAAGATGTCCAGGTTATAGTTGCTGCTGCCCCCTCCTCTGCTCCTCTGGACCAGAGGAGTAAGCCTCTTTCTTCAGATAAGTTTTCCTCTTTTTCTTTTTCGAATAAACGACTTTCTCTGCCCAAAGACCTTGCTCCTCTCCCCTCCCCCGCTGCCATTACACTTGTTGATCCCTCGCCCCCTGTCCCTTCTCCCATTATCATTGAGCTCCCCGCTGTATGCACCTCCCCTGTTCAAGAGGGGGCTGGATTGGCTGCTACAGTGGACCTGGACCCACCTTTGTCGCCTCTCGTTCTAGCCCCCACGTCTGGTTCGTCTGTTCCATCTACCACGCCCGTGCCTGAGACCGTACCTGTCTTTTCCACAATGACCAAGAGCAAAATCCGCCGGTTGCGAAAAAGGGGCATTGGTGTGTCTACGTTCACTGCCGAGCAAGCCAAGACTACCCTCCTCACCTTTGTCTGCAATGTTAATGGTCACTCCGCTCGGATCCTCATCGACGGTGGAGCTCAAGGCAACGTCATCAGCTCTTCTTTTGTAAAGCGACATCAAATTCCTCTTCACTCTTCTTCTCCCATCCCCATTGTCCTCCCCGACGGATCTCGCTCCTTCTCTGCCCACACCGCCCACATCACCTTTGCACGACAACAATACTCCACCACTCTCGATCCCCTCGTCTACCCTTTAAAGAGCTACGACCTCCTCCTTGGCAAACCTTGGCTCACACAAACCAACCCTCTCATCAACTGGCGAACCAACAACCTCCGCATCCGCTACAACGACATCGACATAGACTGGGACTGTACCGGCTTTCAGTCATCTTCCATCAGCACTCGCACTCGCGGCCTTCTCCTCTCCCACATCCACTTCTACACAGAGGCAACAACCCCCGGCAGCGAAATATACCTTGCCCTCATTCGTTCCAACGACAAAGACAACGACAAAGACAACAACAACAATAACGACAATGATAATGACCAGCCCACCTCTAACCAACAACTGCCCTCGATCACTCCCATCACACCACAACCACCTCCCTCTCTTCCCCCTGACATCCACTCCATTGTTCACGACGAGTTCCCCGACGTTTTTCCCTCTTCACTTCCTTCTGGTCTACCTCCGGACCGTGGAGATGCCATGCGCATCGAAACGGACCCGAGCGCTGACCCTCCTTTCAAGCCCGTTATTCGTTTGTCTATTGCAGAGTTGGACGAATTGAAGAAGCAACTTGATGAGTTACTCTCTAAAAAACTCATCAAGCCCAGCACTTCTCCCTACGGCGCCCCAGTGCTCTTTGTCAAGAAGGCCGACGGTTCTCTACGTATGTGTGTTGACTATCGTGGTCTCAACCGCATTACAAGAAAGAACCGCCATCCCTTACCTAGAATTGATGAGTTGATCGACCGTTTTCGGGGCGCAAAGTACTTTACCAAGTTGGACTTAATCTCGGGGTATCATCAACAACGCATCTATGAGCCTCACACTCATAAGACTGCCTTCCGTTGTCGATACGGGCACTTTGAGTTCAACGTCGTCCCCTTTGGCCTCACCAACGCCCCAGCCTCCTTCTCCAACATGATGCTCAAGGTCCTTGATCCCGTCCTTGACAAGTGGGTGGTCGTCTATCTTGACGATATTCTGATATACTCCAAGACCAAGGCCGAACATCTCCGTCATATTCCCAGTGTTCTCTCTCTCCTCCGCCAGCACGGTCTCTATGCAAAGTTGAGCAAGTGCTCCTTTATGCAAGAAGAGACTGAGTTCCTCGGTCATGTCATTACCAAGGATGGTTTACACACCAATGCCGGTCTTGTTCGCGCCATTCGAGAGTGGCCTCGCCCAACAAAACAAAAGGACGTTCAACAGTTCATTGGGTTAGCCCAGTTCTACCAGCAGTATATCCACAATTTTGCTGACATCGCTCTTCCCCTCACGTCTCTACTAGGAGGCCTTTCAGGTCCAAGTTATCATATGGTGTTTGTTACATCTCTGTAGATCTCGACAATATCCATAGCGACTATGGGATGAGAATGTATATATGATACCAAGCATATAAGACAACCATTGTAACATTTTTTGTTCAACTATCCTACTAAACACCAACCTATTCTCCAAACAACAAAGTCTTCTTATTTTTCGCACACCACACTCTTGAATATGTCCATCTACTATTAACCTGTAACCCTCACTGCAAGATTCGCCAGAGTAGTTCTTGTATGTCATCATCTAAAGCACTTGTACTCTCAACTGTATCTTTGGGGCGAAATACAGGGGAGAGATTACATTTTAAAAAAACATGTGCTGTCTATTGCTATTTTATTCTGTGTTCTGTTGCCCACTATGAAGAGATATGTCAGTTATGGAAGTAAACACTCCGTTCCTTGGGCTTTGGATATTTTTTATATGCCTTTTTATATCCTCTGCACATGAAGGGGCCGCTTGTACGATTCACCTCGTTCTAACCCCATCTTGATCACCTTCTCAACCTCATCTGTTCTCTCAGTCTGCGTCATAGCACTCTCCACAAACACTTTCTCGCATCTCGCCCACGGCCACTTTCCTTCAGGGTCACGACTCAAGACTGCATTCATGGCATCAGACGCTTTGCGATCCATATTCGCCAAGCACAACAACCTTGAACATCTCTCATCGAACCCGCCCGTCGTGAACTTTGTTACTTCTATTCTATGGAATTCGTACAGGAACTCTCGGACGTTGGTAATCAAGGGACCGTGGATCTTGATGTCAAGAACAGGAAGCAGATGAGCCTCGACCAACCGATGGTAACGCGGAAACTCATTCGACAACTTGATCTCGTCAATCTTTCCACCCTTCTTAACCCCCAACTCCTCATTCTCCTCTCTGGTCACAACACTAGAGAATGCCGTCCTCCCCATGGACCTCTCAGCACTCTCTAGGTCATCCAGCATGACATTCCACTCGTTCATCGCGGTCTTGGCCTCAGCGATCTGACGTGTTAGTTCCGCCAACTTTGGTCGCTCCTGGTCGCCCTCCTCTTGGCTCAACCCTTGGATGCGCGCGGCTAACTGCATCTTCTGTCTCGTCAACGTCGCCAGTTGCATCGAATACTCCTTCATCTTTCCTCTGGCTGCATGGGCATCCATAAAGTCAGAGCCAACAGTCTCCTGCATGTCAACATCAACGTCCATGCCTGCTCCCTCATCTCGTCCCGACGTCAAGGTAAGTGCATCTAACGCACCAACAACCTTATTGCCAACGTCCTCGTTCTTCTTTGCCGTATTCGCTGCCATTCTCTATGACCCAATTAAAGGAAAAGAAAACAAACAGACAAGCAGAATAAACAGAAAACGAAATGAGCTTTTGAAAACTGATGATCAACCAGACTGCACCCCAGAAAAAATAATACTGTTACTACTAACGTCAACTTCCAGTACTTTTTTGCTCAGTGATCCACTTGATTCAAAATAAAAATAAAAAACAACACCCAGAAAAAACTAAAAGTTTTCTGATGCAAATGAATTCGGATGAGGGCACACCTAAATGCCAACAAAGACGAATCCCGCGTTTATTTGAACAAGAATGTCCTTGATCAAAACTAACGGTGAGTTTTCTAATGAATCTCTGCTACCGTGTTATATGAAGACCTCAAATGACCACACAGATGTATGATCGCACTTGAAAGCTCCAACACAAAAAGGTAGAATAGTAACCAAATAATAACAACGAAAGTAACCGCCTGTTACACTTCGTATTAATGATCAGTCTCTGCTGTAACCTTGTCACTAGTGACCAGATACACGCACGAAATGACCACAAATAAAAGAAAAGGATCCTGTCCTTGTTGGATTATCCTGAAAATAGAGAAAAATCCTGACAGTAAAGGTCCTGTTCTGTAATGATCCGTAAATGCTCCCGTTACGTCCTGAATCGCTCCTGTAGATTGATGGAGTGTTCCTCGTAATGGGTTGAATGAATAAATAAATGAGTGGATGGATCCTGTCAATCGTTCGACGGATTCTGATCCCGATCCGTGTTGTATTTATCAAAAAAAATGAAAATTTTTACGCTAGTCACGCACAATCGAATTGATAAGACAAGAGAGGGATCTTTGTTAACAGCCCAGACACCTCCATTTATGTCGGTGTCTGGTCATATGACTAAATTACTGTCTCTAGCCTAATTACATTAGCTGACACCCCCGAGACAGGCAAATATGCGACAGGCCTGCTATGGCAGCATCATGCACATCGTGAAGGAGGAGAAGGCGAAGGTCAGAGGACTTTGGTATACAAAGCAAAGTATCGCCATGTCGTTCAACGTACAAAAGACCATGCAACTTTAGGAGGAGTGGAAGTAAGAGATGTGGATGTATTATGGTAGTGTGTGTCTATTTATCTAAAGCTACTCTGATCGGAGGTTCAACTATTGCACCTTCCCCTTTTAAAAAACGATCCCCTGGTCCTTTTTGAACGCGTCAACTAGGTCGCGGCAGTTCTCCAGGTTGGCGACGGGCTCCCACGTTTGGTCCTCCCGTCCGTACCCTTTCCATGACACAAGGAACTGGTGTTGCCGTCGGTATTTCCTGTAATGCAAAATGGACTCGACCTCGTATTCTTCATTGCCCTCGATGACAACTGGTGGTGGTGGTGCTATTGTTCGGCGGCCAAATGCAAGTGGTGACTCGATGTGATGGCGGAGGGGGTCGACGTGGAAGACATTGTGGATGTTGTAGGAGGGCGGTAGGTCGACTAGAAAAGTGACTGGTGATCGCTGCTCCAGCAATGTAAAGGGTTCGATGAAGCGAGGCTTGAGTTTATCCGAGCTGAGTCCACTGTCGGCTGGCATGGTGATGTTCTCTGCACTAAGGAGGCCTTTCACGTCCAAGTTATCATATGGTGTTTGTTACATCTCTGTAGATCTCGACAATATCCATAGCGACTATGGGATGAGAATGTATATATGATACCAAGCATATAAGACAACCATTGTAACATTTTTTGTTTAACTATCCTACTAAACACCAACCTATTCTCCAAACAACAAAGTCTTCTTATTTTTCGCACACCACACTCTTGAATGTGTCCATCTACTATTAACCTGTAACCCTCACTGCAAGATTCGCCAGAGTAGTTCTTGTATGTGATCATTTAAAGCACTTGTATTCTCAACTGTATCTTTGGGGCGAAATACAGGGGAGAGATTACATTTTAAAAATTCTTGTGCTGTCTATTGCTATTTTATTCCGTGTTCTGTTGCCCACTATGAAGAGATATGTCAGCTATGAAAGTCAACACTCCGTTCCTTGGGCTTTGGATATTTTTTATATGCCTTTTTATATCCTCTGCACATGAAGGGGTGTCACAGTATCATAATCTGTTGTGACCCTAGATCATTAGCGTCATCTAACCACTGTCTCATCTAACCACATTATCACCTAATTACATCCCCATCTAACCACATCACCACCTCACCACATCACCACCATCCTGGAGCCCATAGCCTAGCACACATAAATACCCTGGCTCCTCTGTACAATAAACACCATCCGTTTCTGCCTCCTGCTCTTGTCTATCACCCTTCTTCTGTTGCTATTACATGGTAGCAAAAGTAACTTCGATCCATACCCCTCTGCCCTGATCTGTCAAATTTTCTGTTCCTGCTCCAGCTCCGTTCCTGTCTACCCATATTTTATTTTCTCTTTCCACACGTACAGCTCTCTCCTCCTTTTACCATATCCCTACTATCCTTTTTTATTTTCTTACTTTTCTGCACCCTTCCGGCTCTTATGTCTGCTACCGACGAAATTCGCCAGCTCGCCTCTGGCCTTACTGACGAGGCCAGGACCAGGATTGAAACCCTCCTTGCAAGCCTTAGCGGCCCCTTCATGTGCAGAGGATATAAAAAGGCATATAAAAAATATCCAAAGTCCAAGGAACGGAGTGTTGACTTCCATAACTGGCATATCTCTTCATAGTGGGCAACAGAACACGGAATAAAATAGCAATAGACAGCACAAGAATTTTTAAAATGTAATCTCTCCCCTGTATTTCACGACAAAGATACAGTTGGGAATACAAGTGCTTTAGATGATCACATACAAGAACTACTCTGTCGAATCTTGCAGTGAGGGTTACAGGTTAATAGTAGATGGACATATTCAAGAGTTTGGTGTGCGAAAAATAAGAAGACTTTGTTGTTTGGAGAATAGGTTGGTGTTTAGTAGGATAGTTAAACAAAAAATGTTACAATGGTTGTCTTATATGCTTGGTATCATATATACATTCTCATCCCATAGTCGCTATGGATATTGTCGAGATCTACAGAGATGTAACAAACACCATATGATAACTTGGACGTGAAAGGCCTCCTAGGTGAAAGCTTATTTGAGGCAAAGGTGGGAAATAATTTCCCTTAGGTTTTAATAACTGGCTTGTGGCAGCCAAGCATTCATAGCCACGTTGCTTTTTGATCCTTCGATGTCGGCTCTTCCTATCATACTGAAGCAGAATTTAGTAAGCGTTGGATTGTTCACCCACTAATAGGGAACGTGAGCTGGGTTTGGACCGTCGTAAGACAGGTTAGTTTTACCCTACTGATGAAATGTTGTTGCAATAGTAATTGAACATAGTACGAGAAGAACCGTTCATTCGGATAATTGGTATTTGTGCCTGCCTGAGCAGGCAATGGCCCGAAGCTATCATCCGTTGGGTTATGGCTGAACGCCTCTAAGTCAGAACCCGTGCTAGAACGCGACGATTACCGCCTTTTCCGATTTTTAGTTGAATACGAATAGAGTCTCCCGACGGGGGATTCCTGAATCATACTACGTGGGGTTGTCTTGCAGAGCGGAAAGGCTTTGTGAGGTTTCTGCTAATGTTAATTTCAAATATTGGAAGAGATAAATCCATTGCAGACGACTTTAATTGAACGGGGTATTGTAAGCAGTAGAGTAGCCTTGTTGCTACGATCTGCTGAGATTAAGCCCATTGTTCTACAGATTTGTTCTTATGAACAACATCTCTCTTTTTATATTTCTGGTTGCGAGCAGCTTAAGGGGTGCCCACTTTGGCTCTACATCTCTCGTGTACTCTGTCAGTCGAATGCGCGACACAGCACATGTGGTTGCAACTGCCGCCCAGTCGACTTTTCTATTTCTTCTAAAGCATGACTTAAGGGGTGCCCAAATTGACTGAACCAACTCGAGGAACCATCACACAATTTTCTCTGAATCTTATATGGGTCTAGAACCGACTTTTTTTACATCGGTCGAGCACCGAAGAGTGATAGCCATTTTTTTTAAAATTTGGCAAAAAAAAAAAAAATGCTATTCTAGTGGACTCACGACTACCCAAATACACAACAGCGGGAAATTAAGGATCCTCACAGGCAATAACCACTTTCTTGTTCTCGAGGATCGGGAGGATTGGAACATCCTGTGAGTACACCGGTACGGCAGTAGGCGAAGGCTTCCCCTTGTTTGCATGTCGGCAAACGTCGGCATGTCCCGTAGAGTGGGTAACAGGCTTGTTTGCCATATCGACTGGATGTGCACTTCTCTTCAGTGATCTTGAGGGGGTCAAGGTCGTCGTAGCAGGTGCGAGTTTGCGGATCTTTGCAGGCACAGACTATGGCAGCATGACCAACAGCTACGAAACTCAAAAGAACGCTGAGAACAAGCAAATATTTGAACTGCATTTTTGGATAGGGTGTAGTTGAAGGGCAATGAAAGTTGGAAGGTTGGAATGGGGATGAATGTCAGAAGGAAGAGGTGTATTTGAATGAAGAGATAGCCTTAAAAATGAATGTCATTTATATGATTGAGCTGGACATGAGTGCAGTAAAGTTGGAGAAAGGAGTAAAAAAAGAAACAAAGAGGGAGGGGGGGTCCGAGAGGAGTGAAGATTGGATTGAGAAAGATTCGCATATAACATGCACCATGCACATGTCAGATATCTGACAACAAGTACCTGTTCCATGATCTGGTCCACAAGAATCAAGGGAAACAACAGGAGTGGATAGGAGCCATGTAAATGCATGAGATCAAAGGATGCTTGAAAAGGAAAAAAAAATGGGATTCGAGAACAAGATACAGGTGTATGCTGGAATGGTTTAAGGGCATTTTCAGAGAAGAGGCAGGGCAGGAAGATTTCAAGGGATGGATTAAGGGACAACTCCAATGGACGATCCCAATGAACAATACCAAGGGATAGCATCTAAGGATAATTTTAGTAAAACAATACCAGTAGAAAACATCAAGGGACAACATCAAGGGACAGCATCAAGGGACAGCAGCATCAAGGGACAACAGCATCAAGGGATAGCATCAAGGGATGAGGAAGGGATCTTAGATAGGTTCCGAAGATGTCACGTGATGCTAAACTCCTTGCTTGGTCGAAGTCGGTGCGATGGGAAGGAGAGAGGGAGAGAGAGTGGGGGGGGATGAGATAGATGGAGAGATTGAGGGGGAGAGTGAGGGGAGAGTGAGCGGGAGAGTGAGGGGAGAGTGAGGGGAGAGTGAGCGAGAGAGTGAGGGACGATGATTTGGGTAGATGAGAGAGGAGAAAGGGAGAGTAAGGGGAGAGTGAGCGGGAGAGTGAGGGATGATGATTTGGGTAGATGAGAGGGGAGAAAGGGAGAGGGGCAGGTCAAGGCGATGCATAAAAGTTCAAGGGATTAAGGGATCAAAAAGATCAAGGGATAAGGAAAAAGACCAAGGGATGAAGAAAAACTTCAAAGGGCGAGGAAAATGGTCAAGGGATGCGGGAAAAGTTCGAGAGATGAAAACATCTAGGGACAGCATCAAGAGACAATACCAAGGCATAAAAATCAAGCGACAATGTTAAAAAGTAGCATCGAGGGAAAACATTTAAGGTTTTTTTTTTTTTTTTTTTTTTTTTTTGGAGGGAAAAGAGAGGATTTATTGTGGCTTAAACAGCCTTGATTGAGTTATTTTGTGCTATGGTTTTGGTGATTTCGCGAAGTATGGTGTGGATGATATCGCTACTAGATTGAGTGTGTTGATGAAGAAAAAGAACGGTGTTGGCTGATGAAATACCAATGAGGCAACAAGCCAGCAATTGTGGGATAGTGATGTTAAATTGGGGTTTGATATCAAAGGTTGGAGGATGGAAAG